TTTTTCTGATGTTCATATTTGTATTAATGTAGTTGTGAATGAAATTTTTGTTAGGTTTTTTTAATATTTATTTTCACCCAACGTTATTCGGTTGAAACACTTGATTACTTCCAAGATATGTTATTTCTTGAGACGTACTTAGAGTTAGACTTTACTGAAAATTCATTGAACATTTCTGTTCCTTTATCGGATACATCTATATCTTCTAAAACACGTTCATCTGTCCTTTGGATCTTTACATCTATAAGGCTTATTAAAATTCTCCGTTAAATATATTCAGTTTTCGTTATTGCATTAAAATCAAATACAAATTATATACTGTTAACCCTTAAATAAAAACGGGACAGTTTTGCGTCGCGAAGCTTTTCTCGTGGATACTAAGACGTAGCGCCGGAAAAAGAGACAGTACCGTTCGAAACAGTATGTATAGAACGGACTAACATGACGTGACGGACGGATTGACAGCGTTGCCATTACAATAGGGTGCCATTGTACTCTTCGAGTACGGAACCCTAAAAATATTCATTCTCCGTTTAAAGTATTAACTATTTTTGAATCATTCTCATTCATATTGAATGCTGTATTAAAACCCGCATCGTGAAGATTTATACATAGATTAATAGTAGATAGGTAGAGGTAAATATGTGATCCTCCAACTGAAAATTCTTTGATCATCTCAGTCGATTCGTATCCAAGACGAGGCTGCACCAGTGTCGAGGGTGCGGGTAGGGTACGGGCGCGGGTACACAGCAACACAGCGTCAAGGGGGTTGTTTCAGGCGTCGGCGTCATCTGGCGCGGCACTTAGCTTCCCTTCAGCGTCGGCTTCGGTCGCTCTTACGGCCGATCCCGTAGGGCACATTTTCCCGGTATCACGGCTCCAGCCGCCGGAATCTTTTCCGGGCCTGTCGAAAAAACATGTGGCGCATTTACACGTATTAATTCAAACGGCACGTTACGAATGCTAAACCCCGGAATAAATTGACTCCGGAGATGGCCGAAAATATTATTATTCTCCCGTTTCTCGTGGCGGTGGTGATGATGGTGCGGTCCTTCCGACACAGTGGCGGAGATTGCGGTCTTAAAACGACCTATTTCGATTAAAACTAAGTAATCATATTAAGCAGGCGCAGATCCGGAGGTAGGCAATGGTGCAATTTTTCGGCGTTTACATTCTGTACCCGCGGAAAGTTGGTTTTCATTTTTCACGCCTGGTCAAATAATACAAAGGGTGTTCAATAATTATTGTCGTGTAATCAAAACTAATTTTATTTTTTCAAGGTAAAGTCTTTGAATATTAGTACATTGTATCATACGCTTAAACCAATCATTAATCCAGTCCTTCCACTTTTGTTTAGGAATTAACTGTAATTTTTCTTCGAACGCGCATATAAACTGCTCCTTCATGTTAGTTTTGATGCAGAAAAATAAGCCAAAGTCATAGGAGCTGTGGGGAGGATGCCGCAGCAGCCAAATAGTCCATGGTAGCACCAGCTCTATGAGCAAGTGCTTTGTCTGGTTGCAAGAATCAGGAACTAAGTCTAGAAGTTGGTCTACCATTCGACAGTTCCTCAAGTAACTGAGCCAGACATGTTTTAGTGTACCATGAATTTGTAATACGAGGGTGGATTGATAAGTTTCCGGCCTAACCAAGAGATGACGCCACTAGGCCTACCTTGAGGTGACATTCTATAGTACCATCCTTGGATAGCTTGTAGCTATAGTTTCAGCCCGATCTCCTTGCTAGTGTAGGTTTGACAGCACGCTGAACAAGACGCCTCTGTGGTTTTCGTAAAAATGGAAAAGCAGGAAAATCGTGCTGTCATCAAATACTTTTATTTGAAGGGGTTAACGCCGAAGGAAATTAAAAAAGAGATGGACTCAACACTGGGGACATCCTCCCCGTCATATTCAACCGTTAAGCAGTGGGTTTCCGAGTTTAAAAAGGGTCGTGTGAGCACCTCTGATGGGCCTCGCTCAGGACGCCCCGTTGAGGTCACAACTCCAGATATGATCGAAAAAATTCATCAAATAGTGCTGGGAGACCGCAGATTGAAAGTGCGTGAGATAGCTGAGACCTGTAAGATGTCATATGAACGTGTGCAACATATTTTGCACCAACATTTGCATATGGAAAAGCTCTGTGCAAGATGGGTGCCGCGTTTGCTAACAGTCGACCAAAAATTGATTCGAAAAAACATTTCTACCGCAAATTTGTCATTGTATAAGCGTAATCCAAGCGAATTTTTGCGTCGATTCGTAACCGTTGACGAAACGTGGGTCCACCACTACACTCCTGAAACCAAAGAACAGTCTAAACAGTGGATTGGACCAGGGGAACCAACTCCAAAGAAGGCAAAAACAATTTTTTCGGCGAACAAGGTTATGGCTACTGTTTTTTGGGATGCAAGAGGTATTATATACATTGATTACCTTGCAAAGGGTAATACTATCACTGGTCAATACTACGCAGACTTATTGCAACGTTTGAGCCACGAGGTGAAAATTAAACGACCTCATCTGGCGAAGAAAAAAATCTTGTTTCATCACGATAACGCACCAGCGCACACGTCAATCGTTGCGACGGCTAAAATCAACGATCTAAAGTTTGAATTGATGCCGCACCCTCCTTACTCTCCAGACCTAGCCCCGAGTGACTATTTTCTGTTCCCTAATCTCAAAAAATGGCTTGGCGGTAAGAGATTTGCGGACAATGAAGAAGTAATCGAAGCTGTAAATGGTTATTTTGAGGAGCTTGACGAATCAGTCTATAGAGATGGCATTAATAGACTGGAACACCGCTATGAGAAATGTATCAGCCTTGGAGGAGATTATGTTGAGAAATAAAAAAAAAAAATTTTTAAAAACCTTGTTTTTCTTGGTCAGGCCGGAAACTTATCAATCCACCCTCGTAGTCCATGGTAGCACCAGCTCTATGAGCAAGTGCTTTGTCTGGATGCAGGAATCAGGAACTGAGTCTGGAGGTTGTTCTACCATTCGACAGTTCCTCAAGTAACTGAGCCAGACATGTTTTAGTGTACCATGAATTTGTAATAGTCTTTTGTCCTGTGAGGATAACCGATTTTACAGTACACTCTGCTTATTTAAGAAAACCACCATCATTCCTTTGCCCACAGATTTAGACTTTCGAGGTTGAGTTGGTTCCTCCTCATGCATTGCTTGGTTATGCACTATAAGTTTAAATAATATATAATCATGAAGTTAGTTATGTACAGAATTTGAAGAACTTGTGGTCACCAGAGTAATGAACTTTAATATCTTTTAAGACCTTAATGTGATGTGTTTAATTATTCGTACTAATATTTTATGTCAAAAATATTAATTTATAGTAAACTTTACTACTTTCGTGATTTATTTTTAAAAAAATCTATTATTTTGCATATCCTATACTTACATAAATATATTTCTACGGTTATTTCTTGCTTTTGAATTTATTTAAGAATAGAGGTATCTGTTCATAAAAGTTTTATTTGATTATATTACGGTTGGTTCAGGGATTTGATCAAGTATTATCTGCTGTTTCCTATGACGCAGTGGTTCTCAAGCTATTTTGTGTCGTAGATTACGTGCCAATTTCTTCAGTTTGTGCTATTCATTTGTTACTTAGAGTAGAAAAGATAAACAAAAAAAACATAATTTTCCTTAGATTAAAGCATATGGAGTAATAAAGTTTTTCAAATCTAATCACAAATCTCCATCACGTTTCATAATCATATAGAAACCTTAAAGATATAGTAGGCTGATCTTTAAAGTTTGTTGATATCTTTACAATCTTTTATATCAACTGCACAACAGGATAACTATTGAACATTAGATAAATGACTGAAGGTCGTCATGGCTGGTTTAAAGTATAAATGAAATTATGTATTTAAGACAGATATTGAAATTAAAATTTTAACAAATAATATAAAAAAAATTGGAAATAACGAATTCAGCTTTACAGTTAACAGGTTTTTCATAGTACTTATTAAAAATCATCTTTTACAAATATTTTCTTATAGACCAAATAAAATATTTTCGTTACCGTAAAAGATAAACTATTATTTATTATTGTTTAAGAAATGGTACACTTAATTATGTCTTGAATCAGTCAAATCAGGTAACTGTCCTAATGGGCAAGGTTTATTCCATTTTCGTGTGTTAATAGAAAAAGTACCCGTTTTAAATGTCGTATATCCATAATGCTGTTGTTTTGCCGCAAAAATTATTTTGAAACGTAAATTTCAATATTTGTCTGAAATACACAATTTTCTGTGGTTTCTCTGGATCACTTCGGCAAATGGTGGGACAGTAATATTCAACAGATAATCTTTCATTCTCTTCTGTCTTCATTTCTTCCGTCTCATCTTTCTCACCCGAACCACCATCCACCCATGCCCAACCTGAAAGGAGGCTGAAGAAGTTCTTTCGTCATACCTTTCGGCATAGACCGGAGGGACTGCCCGCCCACCAGCATTACTGGCTGGTGGGAATGAAACAACCAAAAGTTTTTTTTTATGGTCTACATACGGATTCTTGCCCCACTTTTTTGAGGTTTTAGAGTTACTAAGTTTCCCTCTCTCCACAAATGTATCAGGACCGTAACTGTAGGCTGGACCCTCCTCCACAATTTGTGTTACGTAATTTATTGTCATCCCAAAGCCAAAATTTCGGCCAAAACAAGATCAATTCTCGTGAACTCCAATTTACACCTCTTGCACCCGAATTTTTGCTTTCGTTGAACATTAGAATCTGTTCTCTGAGATTTTTCTTCGTATTTGTATTAATTCTCCTACAACATGCAACTTCTTTAGTTTGTTATATAAATATTTTTTTGTTTTGCATAAAAACTAGATACATACCCATAAATAATGCTACCGCGATTCTATCCTTATCATATAGTCATCAAAATTTTTATTTTTAGTAATGCAGAACAAGAACTTCTTTCCTTTTGGTGGCTGTCAATTTGTATACATGTTGATACTTTTTTTATTGTTTCAGATCCCGTAGTGCACGTTACACCCCCAGCGCTAGTGGGTTTGGGTTCGTATTTGAACAATCATGGGACAAGCATTGCTAAACCGGTGGCGAGCAGGCCACATTTCAACCCTCACTTACTGTTGACTCACTGCAGACCTCAACCGTACTTAACAGGTAACTGAACAAGGGAGCAAATATTTGTACAAAGATTTAAAATCTTCAAATGAATTTATTCTGTTTCTTATATTTGAGTGAATTTACTTGTTAATTATTGAGGCACTTAATTTTTGAAACTCTGTATGTTATGAAAGGAATGAAACAGTACTTATTATCTCTAAAACGGTTTCAAGAGCTCCCCTCGCCTCATAAACTATGAGTAATCTACGCAACACACGCTTTTAATGTAAGATATTTTCGCGCCCCTGTTTTCTTTTCCCATTTCACTTCTACTGAATAGCAGAAAATACCACAAATGGCGCGGTAAACGCCATCTGTAGTACGATGCTACATTTTAGGATTACGTATGCTCCAAATTATGGTAACGTGCCTATCACGTTGAGGTAAGCTACGCCGGGATTCGTTTCAGCAAGTAGATATCCATATATTTAAATGGACCTTGCTGGAGCATACGTAATCCTAAAATGTAGCATCGTACTACAGATGGCGCTTACCGCGCCATTTGTGGTATTCTTTAAAACGCGCTGTTGAGACAGCAGGTAAAAGTTGGTCTGTGTTCTGTCGGAGCTGTCTGTGACGCGCTGATGAGATCCAAAAAGATCGAAATCGCGATCCGCGTCTGGCAGTTTCGACAGAATACAGACCACTTCGAATTATATTATACTGAATAGCAGTTTTCTGCAATGCTTCCATGTTATAGGTAAGTTGTAGTGTAAGAAGTTTTCAGTTTATATCCCTGATATCTCAAAAGTCTTTACTCTTTACAAGTTTGATTAATGCATGATTTTATGTTGGTTCAGTATCAACTCCAGTTTCTGGGACCCAGTCAGCTGTGTTTCCACTTCCGGGGACGTTCCCTTGGGCGCATAGTGGAAGAGGAAAACCCCGAAGAGGAATGATGCGAAGAGCCGTTTTTAGCGATCTGCAAAGAAAAGGTTTAGAGAAGAAATTTCAAATCCAGAAATATATAAGCAAACCAGACAGGAAGAAATTGGCTGAGAATCTGGGACTCAAAGATAGTCAGGTAAATTTTTATTTTGTATCATTGTTGGTATTTAATTATTTTGTAGTGTTATCTAATAAGGAGAAACTTTAATATTCCTCGATTTGAAACGAAAAATGAAAGAATAAAAGAGAACTTTTTAAATAATTGTGTGGAAGAAATAGCTTATAGTAAATAAATTACGAATTCTTGAATTAATTTATCTCGTATACGAGTTATGTATATGTTTCCGGAAATGTGTGAAATACGTCATTGTATACAATTCCTAGGAAATGTATATAATTCCTAAAATCGTCCGGAAATTATTTTAGACTCATTTCCTAGGAAATCTATACATTTCCTAAATAGCAATTGAAAATGTNTCGAAAGCATATTCATTTTGTTCGATTCTTTTTTATATTTCATTACATATTACGTTTAATAGAAAGATGCCAATGAGCATTATATTTATTTATTTTATAAGATAACATAAATAATTAACCATAAAGATGGACTTTCTCGCCAATGCTAATTTACTACTAATTGTGGATTCACATTTTACTGAACAAGATATCTGTTATACGAGATTATCGTTACCTACTTTTCAAACTGATCCCTTGACTGACAACAACATGTTAAGGCGCACGCACAGTGCCGCCGAGCCGAGTGAGGAGAGGGAAAGAAGCTCTAATTACAATTAATTAGAAAAGGTGAAACACAAATATTAGATCTTTGGGCACCCTAACAAGCTTTTTTTTAAATTTTGGTTCTTGGCGTGTTCAATATTGTAATAATAAAATCTGGTTAAGGAACAAATATTTATTTGACACTGTTAGAGCTGAAGAAGAGTAAAGTAGATGATGGTTGATTTAGAACTGAAGAATATAGAATTTGAATAATTTAGGAAAGTTATGAAGGTGGAGCTAAGGGTTGTAGATAAAAGAAGGGAACCAATAGTAAGAAAATATGATTTGAAAACTGCTGAAGATAGAAAATATAGAATTAAGTTGTTGAACCCAAATCACCGAAGAAACCCCTCATAAAATAGCAATTAGGACGGATAGCAAAGTACAGACGTCATGCGGTTAGTACGCGAAGTTGAAATGTTAATAGGGATTATAGGAAAGTACAGTAAAAAAAGTTATTGGAACAGATGGGTAGAATACAAAAGCTTTAGAAGATAATGTTGAGAAATATTTACACAGAAAAGGAATATTATACAAAAGATTTACATATTTACAAAACTACATTATATATACAGGGTGCTCTAATTTATGTTGGTCGCTACAAAATATTCGCCGAAATAAGCATCAAGCTCTGTGTTGAGGTTCTTTCCATCATTGTTGTTTCTCTCGAATAATTCAAAAGGTCTCGTGATCCATTTTTGTGTATGTCTCTTTATTAATGACTTGTCATAGAAAACGAATTGAATAATGACTAATATCAATAAATTAATGATTAGTCAGTTCTAATCAGCAGTAACAAGTTCCAAGAACGTCTTGTTCTTATGTCGTTAGAAGCCATTTGCTTTAAAGTAATTGTCACTTGAAGATCATCATTATTGAGAGATAGCTGATGTCGAGAGAGCGTTTGGTTTTTACATCATAGGAAACGATCGAAACACTTTCAATATTGTCTACACTTCCAGTCATCTACTAATTGTAAGTACCAAAAGATTGAAAGTATGGAATACGCAGTGACTATCCTCTCCACCGTTGTTAGGTGGTTACAGTAAGTTGGGTGTGAACTCAGAAAAAAACTTTAACTTCCATCAACCACGATATAGGCTATAGTTAGTGGTCGTCCTTCCAGCCTTCTTTTTGGGATTGTGGAAATGCGTAGTTTATGGTTAAGAACAGTAGGTTAAGCGGAGGAAATTAAGACAAAAGAGGAAATAAAAGATTATCTGTGAAATGCTCTGTGTTATTTTATGATTTACAAATTTTGGTGACCATAGACAGCCCCCTACCCAAAGGGAGGGATGCCCCACCAATATTTTCTTTAGTTGGTATTTTCAACTTGTGTTATTAATTAGGATATATGTTAGAAATAGACTTCTTTCATAATTTCTATAAGTAAAACTGCTTGAGAAACTTACAAAAGTGCATAACGACTATAAAAGTAATATCGATTCTTAGTTTGGTGTTCCTCGCAAATCGGATTGTAGAAGCATTTTATCGCATACAGTGGTACAGCAATAGCGACAACAAGAGGAAAGGAAGACTTGAACATTGTAGACGCAATGTACATCATATTAATAGAACCAGAAAGGAAAAAGTATAAACACTGTGTCTCAAGGTTCGCAATGAGGTTGTAAATCTCATGTAGATACACCGTTCACAGCTATGCCTCAAATTGATATGACATAGCAAGTTCTTTAGAATAAAATAACGGATCATTGCTGTGTAATAATTTAATTAATTTCTGATCAAAGAAAACAGAGAGAAGAAAAAATACGTGTGCGCGTGATTGCACTCGCTAACCGAATGTATGAATAATCTGAACAACATTTAAAAATAACATCGACCCGCGTAGCCAGGAAACCTTCCCCATTATTATCAAAAAAATTAACTGCAACTAAATTATTTATGTATGGTTAACTTATTTGAATATTGAAATTTACTAATTATTAATAGAAATTAATGATTAATAAGATAATTGAAACAAACCACAAAGAATCCCTTATTTTAATAAGATAAGAGGAAGATATAATTCTAAACCTAATAGAAAGTGTTAAAATCTTTGCTAGAATAGCTAATAACTACAGCGAGCTTTTCGATGGCTTGATTCGAACGAAAAAGAATTTGTTTACTCAAAATAGTTAATGATTCGATCAGGTCCATCATTAAAGAGGAGAAACTTGACTATTGACTAAAACAATATAGTGAATTTGTGGACAAACCTAAAACAGGCGAATTCGAGTAACATAGTAGATAATATTAACTTATTGTATTAAGAATGTTTTTCGGGTTCGATTCCAGGCGAGGATGTGACAGAAGCAACAAAAGATAAATTAAGTTGATTTAATATTAAAGTTTGATAATTATTTTTTATTTATAAATGCATATTTTTACGCGCGTGCGTCTGTAAAACATTAGTTGAAAAATTAAGATTACTTCGGTAGGGCCTTGATCATGGATGTGCTTCATCAAAATAACTCCTTACCGATTCAAGCTAAGCAGGAAGAAACAGTTTACAAAAATTGATGACATCGCTATCTCTCTATTCCTAACAATTTTGTTTAGTACGATCGGTGATTGCAGTTGTTTAAAGTTCATAAATTTTGTTTTGGAAATTGTTTTTTGTTGAGGTTCGATTAGATTAATTTATCCTTTCTCAACGGATGTACTGCTGTACCACATATATAAATATCTGCTCGAAGGACCACCGTATAAATAAGACACGGAACTGTAAAATATATATGTACATTTATTTACACTTTTACATAAGTAACAACTGATTATTCCTAACAATTTTGTTTAGTACGATCGGTGATTGCAGTTGTTTAAAGTTCATAAATTTTGTTTTGGAAATTGTTTTTTGTTGAGGTTCGATTAGATTAATTTATCCTTTCTCAACGGATGTACTGCTGTACCACATATATAAATATCTGCTCGAAGGACCACCGTATAAATAAGACACGGAACTGTAAAATATATATGTACATTTATTTACACTTTTACATAAGTAACAACTGATTATGAGAATTGTTCTCAGCTGAGTCTACTTTAGACTCTGGAAACTCAAAGTGGAGTTTTTAGTTGAAATGTTTTAGAACGAATCGAATCTTCGACTTCGACTTCGACTACGACTACTTATTTTTTTGACAAATTTTAGTATTTATGTTACCCTTCTGATGGAAGGGGCAACAACCAGAATTGTGTGTACTAACACACACACACAAACAAATTATGCCTGGTCCTAAGAAATTCAATAGAACTACAAACTAGGTATTTATAATATTGAATAGTGATTGAAAATTCCAAATGACTAATAGGTAGGTATACAGGAATGAGAGGTACAAAAGAGGTAATAAAACTATTTACAATGGGGGTAAGAAATATATACAGATTATGGGGTTTTTCTTAGGACCAACTTACGACTAATAGCCTATAATAATGTAATGCCTACTGCTTGATCAAATAAATGTTATGATTATAAGTTTAAAATATTTACAAATATCGGCAATAGTCTTTTGCGCCGAAACATGCCGGCCGCGTTGAAAGCGTTGCTTTCAAAACCTTTTATCCATTAACACTAAGATTGTCACTAANCCACCATGCCCAACCCCTCGTGCTTTTTCATTGTAACGACTGTTTGTCATAAGGCACGTAAAAGTAAAATGAAATAAAGTCGAATTTCTCCCGATGTTAGCTGAATCAGATCGGTTGATAGCTGTCGAAGTACATTTTATGATCTCGTTGACAATTTGAATAAATTTGATATGATAACGATTGACTCTCATGAACAAACAAAATGCATATTATCGAACGTCGAGAATTGAAAGCAGAATAAGGAATACTGTAATGGGATGTCTGATATATTACTAAAAAATTAACCAAAAAGGAAAAGGATCAGTGGTAACTAGGTTAAGTCTTGTTTCTAAATTATTTGTTTCCTTATCACAATCTCTATTTTTTACTTTAAAAACTAAAAAGTAGGGGAAGTACGCACAAAATGACAGGGTGTTTTGATTTTGAATCACATATCTTCATTTATTGTAATTATAATCAGTCTCATACATTGACAAACATCTTAGGTTCATTGACTACTAATAATATAGTCTTTTAATTGAATAGGAACTATATCAAATTAAATATTAAGAAATAAATGGACGAATAAAAAAAGAACCATTTTGTCTATATAGTATGGACAAAATGACACACTAAGTATGGGTATAATGACATACCAAAATTTTAAAAACAAAGTTCGCAAATAAATCTTTTAGACTTCTTTGAGACATTAGCACAAGAACCGTGAGCCTAACGAAAACAACTCATGCATCTTGACCAGCTTTCTCCCGGCTTAGACCGCGAAATAAA